TTTCCATGAGGCTAAACCCGAAGTAGACCCAAGTTGAACCAAACCCTTATCCATTTCAATTAATCACCTTTACCCATGCACAAACCCAATTGGCTTCACATTTTCCCACCATTGACCATCCTCATTGGGATGGTGAGCTGAGCCTGGCCAGTCGGCCACCTAGGCTGTCGGAAAACCCAAGCCCAAATGCTCTACCTAGGCATAAACTCAAAATTAAACCCATCCAAGCTGAATCATTCCAATTGGATTGTTTCCCTTTTCTTCCCTCCACCTAAGTAATATTTTCCACCCACCAATTGCCTCTGAGAGCCACCATGGCCTCCTCTATTTAAGCTCACCCTCCACGGCCAAGGAGGGAGGGCTTGAAATTTCTTGGGGAGACTCTGCCAAATTGTTCCTACAGCTTATCTAAGACCTCATGAGTGCAATGCAACCATTCTCCAACTCTATTCCCCACTGATCAAAGCTAATTTCTCAACCCTAATGCAAGCTTAAAACAGGGCACCTCTCAAAACTCCACCAAATCCAAATTAATCACACCCACATCATCCCCTAAGTGAGAGAAAAAAATTCGCCACAAAAGCCCCATCACTAGCCGAGCCTAGAGTGGACTTTGATCAAAATCCAAAATCGGCGTTGGTCAAACTTGGGTCTAGACAATTCACCATGACCAGTGACTTCATCCTCCAGCTCTTTGAACCTCCACGAAGCTTCTCCAAGCATCCAATCAAGGCTTCCCTTCTTGGACCAAGGTATAAGATTTTTCCCTCATCCTGAGCTTATTTTAAGTCTCTATGAGCATAGGATCAATTTCATGGTAGGTATCTCCATAATTTTTTCAAGGTCAGGGTGGACCTCTAACTAGAGATATCTAATTTTCAAGTTAATGGAACCTATTTTGGTATAAAAGTTATAGTAATTAAAATACTCATTAAAAAATTAAAAATTTATTTTGTTAGGTTTAATGTGGTCAGTGGACCCTAGGAAAAATATAAACTTGTTTTAACTCATTAAAAATAATCTTAATTGCCACCAACCCTAACAAATGAAATAAAATTAATTTGGATTAACTACAAATTTAAATGACACAAAAAATCATTTTCCACTATATTTTAATGTTAGAGGAGCTTCCCATAAAAATTTCAAGTCAATTGAAGTTAATTTAATCACTCAAACAGATTAATCAAGTGAAAGCACATTTTTTGCATTAAAATAATTATAATAATTAAAATACAATTCAAAAAATCACCAAATTGGTTTTGTGAGCCCCTTATGACCAAAGAAACCTAAGAAAAATAAAATTGGAATTAAAATAAATACCTCATTTTTGAGTTATTTTTAATCATTTAAGCAATTAAAAATTAATTAAAAAATCATAAAAATTGAAAAGTTGTGAAAACACATTAAAATGTCACATTTGGCTTCCTAAGCACTTAGGACCAATCAAAATAATTTTTCTGAATTTCTTAGTCAAGATATTAATTTTTAAAGGCTTAAAATGAATTTTCTTTAATTTTCCACTAAAGTAATTCTGATAATTAAAATATAAACCAAAAAAATCTGAAATTTGTTTCTTTGGGTTCCCTGGACTCAAAGAAATTTAATAAAATATATAAGTAGTTTTTTACTTAAATAATATTTTATATTGAATATAAAAGTAGTTTTTTACTTAAATAATATTTTATATTGAAGTAATTCTCAAAAAAAATAATTCTAATAATTAAATTTAACCTCTAAAAATTATGAAAATTGGTCTAAGTGATCCTCTGACCTAGGTGAACCTCCAATAACTTTCTTAAGGATAAAGGTTTTGTTTTGGTTGAGTTATCAAATTTTCATTAAAAATCCCCATTTTTGCATTAAAAATAATTATAAAATTAAATAAATTCTGAACAATCACATTTTCTCTTATGTTTTAATTAACCTATGAGTGGGGTAACATAAAATTTTCAAGTCATTTGAGTTTAATTTAATGAATTATAGGGTGATAAGGCCTTAGGGGCAAAAAGGGTAATTTTGGAATTTAAGGCTTAAGTAATATTTAGACTTAACTAAAGGACTAAATTGGCAACAAATAATTTTAATTGATATGTTTTGATGAACTTAACTAAAGGACTAAATTGGCAACAAATGATTTTAATTGATATGTTTTGATGATTAAAATAGAAAAGGGATAAATGGTAGCAACCAATCTCATTTTGGTCTTATAAAGGATAAATTTGTAATTTCTTAAAATTAATGAAATTTGGAAGAATATTTAAATAATAAAAGGGATAAATGGTAGTAACCAGCCTCACTTTGGTCTTGTAATGATTTTTGGAAGTTCATAACTCACTGATTTTAAGCCCTAATTAATGATTTTGAAATGATTTATGACTCATGATAAGGATTAAAGGTATAAACATTTAAATCTTTTTCTCTAAAATTACAAATTTACCTATTAATTTTTAAGGGGTTTAGTAGTGCACTAGGCTTAATCAAAATTTTATTTAATGAGGTTTAGAAAACTACCTATAACTAATTTCAAACCTGTTTAAAACACTACAAGCCCATCTTTAAAATTAAAATGTTAATTAGACCAAATCACCCCTAGGGTTGGTTAGAACATCAGTTCATAGAGCATAAGAGTATGATAAGGATGAGTTTGAACAAACTCAGGACTTTTCAAGGGATTGTGAGATGTTCGAGATTTGGTCCCTGGACCTTTCTCATACTCTTTTGAATATCTTGAAGTATGATTAAACTCATTATGCCTTACTTAAGAAATCATCTATACATTTAAATGAATAGGACCCACTAAGATACGATAGGATTTGGTAGACACACTTTAAACTTGTAGTTCCTACTTTTTCTACAAGCATGTTCTAATTCCTGCAAAATTATATATTGGTCTTACAAGTACTGAACCTTCAGGTGGAGGAACGAAAAGACTTGACAAGTACGCTTTTATAGTTTACAACATCTTCTTTTCATTGACTTTCTTTTGATTATAGAGGTTGTAGCAAGAAGATATATTAGCATTACTCAACCATATAGGTCATAGTTGGTAACTATGATAACATTAGTTGACCACAGAGGTTATAGTAGGAAAATGTAATAGCATCAGTTGGTCATAGATGTCAAAGTTTGAAACTGCAATAACAATTAGCCATATAGACTGTAATTTGTCATATAGGTCATAGTTGAGAGATGTAGCAGTGTTAGTTGCCCACACAACCTGTAGTTAGAAGCTCTAATAATGACAATTGAACCAAATTTGATTAATATAATAATGTGTGTTGGTCGTATAGACATAGTTAGATGTTGTAGTAGCATTGATTAGCTATAATGTTCGTCGTTGGTGACCGCAATAGCTTTAGTTTGACATAAAGACCATACTTATATAATGTAATTGTGTCAGTCAACCACAAAGACCAGAGTCGATGACTATCGTAATGTAAGTTGCCATAGAGGTTGTAGTAGAAAGATGTAATAACATCAATCGACCATATGGGCTACAACTAATGATTGCAATAACATCATTTAGTCACATATGTCATAGTACAAAGATATTATAGCATTAGTTGGTCATGGAGGTTATAGTTAGAAACTCTAGTTGCAATTGGTAATATAGAGCGAAGTTGGTAATTCTTGCTACAACCTCTATAATCAACTGACACTATTATAGTCATCATAATATGCCTTTATGGCCGACTGACGCTATTATAACATTCAAATATGGTTTATGTGACCAACTAATATCATTGCACTCACCAACTATGACCTATGTCACCAAAAAAACGTTGTTACAGTTTCCAACTATGGCCTCTATGACAAACTGAGGGTCTGTTTGGGGCAGCTGCAGCTTATTGAATAATATGCTGATAAGTTGATTAAAAATAATCTACTGATAAGCTAACTATAGTGACTATTATTATTTTTTATTTTTTTGGAAAAGCCAGACCGCTGTCACTGTAGTGACTATTACTATTTTTTATTTTTTTGGAAAAGCCAGACTGCTGCCAGAAAGCTGTCACCCCACCTAGGTAGGTGTTGTGTGAAAAAGCTGTTTTTAGCATTTTTAAAACGCATAAGCTGTCAAAATGTAGTTTACCCAAATAGGTCAGGTGCATTTTCAAAATGTCACCGCACCAAATAAGCTGCCCCAAACGGACCCTGAGACTATTGCATTTATTGACTAAGGTCTTTGTGGCCGACTGACACTATTACAACTATCAACTATGACATTTATGACAAATTATAGTTATTACAACCAAGAACCATGCGTTGTAGCCGAATTATAACTATTATAATTGAACTATTATTGTAAATTTATAATTATCAGCTTTATAATTATATCTTCTTTAATTTAGGAGAAGTGTAGACCTATGTATTTAGAATCACTTATAGTAGATTACTTTGGGGGGCTAATCCCATGATTTTTTTTCCTTCGAGAGTTTTTCCACGTAAAATGTTTTGGAGCCTCATCTAGCTATTTTTTTTTTCTTATCAGTGTATTTTGGATCTTCGTGCAATATTAAGACGATAAATGTCACTCCAGTACCACAAATTTTCTTGCACGCAACAATAATATAACTGTAACCAAATAAAACTTATATTACCCCTATTTAAAACAGATTCAATAAATTTTAAATAAAAAATTTGAAGAGAATATCTTCATTCCATGTTTAAATTTTTATTTTTAATTAATTTCTTTCATCAGTAAATTATTTTTTAAAATAATAAATATTTAATCATAAAGTATATAACTAAAATTTACACCTTAGAAAAATTATTTTTTACTTTAAACTTATCAAGCATTAAAAAAAAATCTTAAACCATGAATCCTCTTCCGGTTTTGTCCCATTAATAAATAATAAATAATAATTCGGCCACACTGGTGGTAGATGGCATGTTCTTTCATTTCCCAAAACATATGCTAAAATAATAGTAGAATATTCGCATCTTTTCTCCTATAAAAGGCCATCCCCATGGCTGGCCAATCCTTCCCTTCCCTTGCCCATCGCGATTAGTACCTTCCGTCTCTACGCGCTCTTTCCAGCTAAGTATGATTTCCTTCCCTCTTTTCAATTGAGCGATATTTTATTTCGTTAGGATTTTTTTTCCTTAGGTTGCCATCGATCTTTTTCTTGAAACGCCAAAAATTTGTTCTTTTTGGCTTCCTGTTCTTGCTGAATTTGAACCGATTTCTATTAAAACCATCGCCCAAATCTTTTTGGCTTTCTGTGTGTTCTAGGATCCGATTTCTATTATAGATTCTTGGTAGAAAGAGACCCGGCGCCAATCGTTACCAAATCATTATAGATCTCAGGATCTATCATCCAGACTTTGATCCTTATGTTCTTGCACAAAATCAATCTCTAGCCTTTATGAATTTCTCTACTCTCCGCATCTGCTTCCTCCAGTCCTTGTCGGTTGTATTTCTCTATTGGTTCTACGTTTTCTCATGAATTAAGCCCCAAAATTGTCGCTTGGTCTCATTTGATTCTCGGAAAAGCCCAAATCTTCTGTATCATTAGGCAAACTTTTTAATCAACTAAGATTCCTCTGTAAAAAAAATGTCCGGGAAGGTTGCTCGCCAATCCTCCAGCTCTGAGAACTCTGGGCTGATGATTGATGAGAGGAAGAGGAAGAGAATGGTGTCAAACAGGGACTCAGCTCGGAGATCTCGCTTGAGGAAACAGCAGCACCTGGATGAGATTGTAAACCAAGTAGCTCATCTCAAGAATGAGAACGAACAAGTTGAGATGCAGATCAGTTTGCACATGAACCATTATCTGAAGGTGGAATCGGAGAACAATATACTGAGGACTCAGATAAGGGAACTGACTGATAGACTTCAATCCATGAATTCTGTTCTTCGGTTTGTCGAGGAGTTCAGTGGAATTTCTTTGGATATACCAGAGATTCCAGATCCACTATTGAAGCCATGGCAGCTCCCTTGTCCGGCGCCACAGATAGCTGCATCTGCAAATTTGTTTCAGTGGTGAGTAGCTCATCTTCTTGGTTGGTTTTCTGGTTGGTCTTTTTATGGTTTAGAAGTTGAGGTTTCTTATTGTTGTTGGTGGTGTTTGAGTATGGTCATTTATTGTTTTCCTCATTTCATTTCTGTTCTGATGTGGGAATGTGTTCAGTGTAACTTTTTTTTTGAATTACATGCTGTAGCATTAAATTTGACTAATATAAATAATTTTTGTGCTGTAGCATTTTATGTTGATTGTGCTCTTCTTATGTGCATAATGTTATGATCGTCAATTGCGAGCTATTTTATGCAAGTTACATTAGCATGTTGGTTGAGAGTTTAATCATTCCAATCACAGGTTCTAGGTACAAGGTCTTGGAAATTCATTATGTGTCAACTCGCAGGTTCTTGGTACAAGACCTTGCATATGCATTACGTGTGTTCGCTCAAATTTTCGAAAAAAAAAAGCACTGTTTTAGTGAAGATGCATGTGATTATTTTAGTTCGTGTGTTCGCTCAAATTTTCGAAAAAATAAAAAGCATACTGTTTTAGTGAAGATGCATGTGATTATTTTAGTTGAAAGCATTTGGCATCAATATATGCATGTTTTTGACATTATTTTTGTGATTGTTTTAGTTGATATTTAATGAGGTATGAAATTCAATGCAAATTATACGTCTCAAAACCATTCAAAAGAATTGAATTAGTGTTTGATTTCACGCGTTCTGGTTAAATCAAATACTAGACAGCTCAGAACAACCTAACAGGCCTTAAAAAGATGAGATGTGTCATGATCATTCATGAGCCTGAATTGGGGCCTGGAAGACCTAAAAGAGAAAACCTTAATGGTCAAGCTGAGGTTGATTGGTCCAGTTCAGGCTAGGGTGGCTTGGCTTATCCTTACTTAGGCTGTCTTCTCATTTAGAGAGATCTCAGGCAACAATGGCTTTATTGACCAAGCTTCTTGTTTGCCTCTTGTGGGTATGTTGTTTTTTATAGTATTGGTTGGCACTAATTATTTTGCATTATGTTCTAGAAGATTAAATCTTTTCAAAGCTGTTGTTCCTCCAATATTTCATTATTTTCCAAGATGTACATGTTAAAATGCTACTTTAGGGGGAGGAATTGATCTAATATAATGATGGGATGCATTATTAACAATTTTGATGGTTCAATTCGAGAGGTGAAATACTTTTACAGAATTGTTTTCAACATTATGGCTGTAAAGTTGATTTTTTATCATTAATATCTTTTTGGGAATCATGAGGACACACGCCTAGCCAAAAGTATATATAATAATAAAATAAGTTCTAATCATAGGGAGGATTAAAACACAAAAAAAAATTTTTGTAAAACTTAAGTATGTGAAGTAAAGAAACAACAACAACAACAACAAGCCTTTATCCCACTTTGTGGAGTTGGCTACATGAATCCTTTTTCTCCATTACGTCCTATTGTGTCATATTTTTCACATTTAATTCTAATAAATTAAGCTAATAAATTAAGATCTTTTATACAATATGATCAAGTCTTTCTTGGTTGACCTTTTGCCCTTAACTTAAATCGAATCTAAAACATCTACTCTTCTAACCGGATCATTTGATGGTCGACGTTTAATATGACCAAAGTATCTAAGATGATTATCTAATTTTTTCCGCCACTGGAGCTACATGAGCTCTATATATTTTTTATTTAATTCTAATAAATTAAGATCTTTTATACAATATGATCAAGTCTTTTTGGGTCGACCTTTTGTCTTTCTTAACTTAAGACGAATCTAAAACATCTACTGTTCTAACCGTATCATTTGATGGTCGACGTTTAATATGACCAAAGTATCTAAGACGATTATCTATTTTTTTCCGCCACTGGAGCTACATCAGCTCTATCACGAATATATTCATTTCGCAATTTCTCTCTAAGTGTAAAGCCACTTATTCACCTAAGCATTCTCAGCTCCGCAATACTTAACTTAGTTTTATGCTTCTCCTTTAAAGGCCAATATCCTGCGCCATAGAACATTGCAGGTCTCACCGCCATCTTATAGTTTTATGCATCTCCTTTAAAGGCCAATATCTTGCGCCATAGAACATTGCAGGTCTCACCGCCATCTTATATGATTTTCTTTCAGTCTAAGCAGTACTTTTCTATCACACAATAAGCCCAAAGCATTCGTCTACTTCAACCAACCAATTTGAATTCTACTAATAACATCCTCATCTATATATCACCTTCACTATGAATAATAGAGATGAGATATTTAAAACATTCAAACCTTTTAATAATTTGATCACCCATGATTACAGCTCTATCACTAGAGCTACTACTATTAAAATTATATTTCATGTATTCAATTTTAATTCTACTTAAATGAAGGCCTTTAGACTCCAATGTAGACCTCTATAATTTAAGTTTTTTTCTTGAGCTCTCTCTCTAGTCTTATCCACAAGAAGGATTTCATCAACAAAAACCATATGTCAAGATACATCCTCTTGTAAATGTCCAGTAAGAGCATATGGGCTTAAAGTCGATCCCTGATGTAATCCAACTGACATAGGAAAATATTTGGTCAATCCTCTTTCTGTTCGAACACAAGTAACACCTCTAGTATCCTCTAGTATACAATACATATCTTTAATGACTTGAATATAAATCATATCAATACTTTTTTTCTCTATAACTCTCCAAAGGATATCTCTTGGAGTTGAAATTACTTCCTGATCATTTAATTAATAGAAATCATATGTGGATCCTCCTTATTCTCTCCGTATTTATCCATCAAACCTCTCAATACATGTATAAGTTTCATAGTAGACTTGCGCAGCATAAATCTAAATTGATTATGACAAATCTTTGTAATACTTCTTAACCTATGTTCATTTACTCTCTCCCGTAATTTTAAAGTACGATACACCCTATACGATACATCAACTTAATTCCTCTATAATTTTAACACATGCATCTCCTTTATTTTTAAAAACAGGACCCAAAAACTCTTCCTCCACTCCTCAGGTATCTTTTTAGTTTTTAAAATAATATTAAAGAGTTTAGTAAGCCAGAAAACTCCTAAATCTCTTCAATATTTCCACACTTCAATTGAGATATTTTCATATTATACGGATTTTTTGCCCTTGGTTTTTTGTAAAGCCTCATAACTTCTTTTTTACTAATGTGACGGTAAAAATGAAATATTTTATTATTATTAGCGATATTAAGATCAATAGATCAATCGTATTTTAGAAACTTCGTTGAAAAGTTATCAAAATAACTCATCCACCTATGTTGAATATTTTTTTCTAAGAAAACCACTTTTTGATTTTCATCTATAATAAACTTGAGTGAAATCTTTATTTTTTTTCTCTTTATTTAGCTAGTTTATACATATATTTTTTGCTCTTTTTAGTATCTAATCTATTATAAAGATCACTGAAAATAGAATTTTTAGTATCACAGATTATTCTCTTTGACTCCCTACGGGAGATTTTATATTTTTCTCAGTTCTCTAAGCTTTTATATTTAAACCAATTTTTATAACATAATTTTTATATTTTATCTTTTTTTGCACATTATTATTCCACCTCCAATTATTTCTATTTACAGAAATTTTTTCTTTTGATTCTCCAAGTAATTTTTTTGCTGCTTATTTAATATTGTTTGTTACTTTATCTCACATAAAGTTTACTTCTTCATGCACATCCCAAATCTTGAAATCTTGAATTTTACACATAAAAATAATTTTATTTGTCTTTTAGGTGCCCTCATCTAATTCCTTTTAGGTTTATTTGTCTTTTAGGTGCCCTCATCTAATTCTATGACAATGATTTCTAGTATTTTTTATTTAACAACTCTTCATCTTAAAATTCAAAATTAATAATCGATGTTAGTACTTAAATTCTCACTTAGAATGACTTTACAATCTCTACATTTCCGACAATCTCCTCTTCTCTTAAGAAAATAATCAATTTGTGTTTTATTAGATCCATTCTTATAAGTAATAATATGTTTATCTTTTTTCTTAAATAAAATATTAACAAAAACAAAATCATATGTTAAAGTAAAATTTAATATGACTATACCTTCTTCATTATTCACTCAAAAATGACATTAAAAAAATAGATGAACATGTGATTTCAAAAAACATCTGTGGAAAACATGATTTTGATTTACAACAACTCCTCTATTGATAAGGATATCACTAGTTTTCAGTCCTGTAATAATGATTTTCCAAGCAATCAAACTAAACTTAATTGAGTAATCATAAAACCAGATATATTTATGTCAATTCACAACAAGAAAATATTTATAAGCAAAGTTGAGGATGTGCTTATAAACATTAGTTAACTCCCCTCCATAAAGAACTATTTTTATCACTCCCAATCGGAATATTAAGAAACTATTGCATGCAATAATAAAAAACATGAGATGTAGACGATAACAACCATTAGCTGCTAATCAATTGCATACAATGATAGAAAACATCATATGTAGATAATAACAACCATTGGCCGCTCATAATAATATAATCAAACATAGCCTTAAGAGGATGATGAAACCCAAAAAAAAAGGCTTAGGGTAAAACCATTTAGTCAAGAATAAAAATAGAAAAATGATATTACTATCGTGTGAAGCATTAAAATTTAATCTACATTAAGGCTTGCAGGGAGGAGATGTTTGATCTTGTTTTATTTCATAAAGACCCGTAGTGATAAAGACATCACACAAAGTGGCTAGAGTTTAAATTATAATTCTTTCATATGATCTTAGACAAGTGAGTGTTTAGATTGGAAGGTTGATCCACTTTGTAGTGACGCATTTATTAATCATGCAAGTATATTAGTCAATCACGTAGACTATGAGTCTGTATATTGATCTCACATTAATTGAGTTAATTTCAAAAATGAGATCTTATAGTTTACTAATCATATGTTTAACTTGAAGTTTTAGAAGTTTGTGAAATTTTAGAAGTGTATAAATTTTATTTTGAAGTTGAAAACCTAAGTTACAGTGAAGCGTTTTCTAACTGTTGTGAGATTCTTCCTTGAATTGAATAAATGAAATTTAAATTCTTCAAAAAGAATACTTTAGTTGTCAAATGAGGCATGTTACTTCTTACTCTTTTGTAAGATATAACAAACGTTGGAATCTTATATTACAATTGTGTTTTTCTAACCCTACAGGATTTCTTAGGTATCCACATTCCCCGCAAAATTTATAAAAGTTTACTAGTAATAG